TGAATCCTTGCCTCATTCAGCGCATGGAATCAAAACCACTTAATTCATGAGCAGCTATTCACTATTTTGATTTATCTGTATTTCTCAGTTGGGTCCCAGAACCTTACTATCCATATGCTATTTCAATTCCTGCTCTGAAAATAATTGTCTTTTTTCTAATAGTCGTTTTTACAATTCAAGTGCTTCATAAATATTTACTGAGCTGTTTTCACAACAGGTAACAGGTTCTCAGAGGTAACAGGCTGTTATCAACCACAGAGAGATCTCTGAGTTCTGTAGGTAAAGATCAAAAGAGAACACACTACTTTGGGACACCAATTTGACATTTTTCGAACTAAATTTTCAGGTTACTGAGTATTATATGCCACTTCACATGTTCAAGAGCACACGCCCTGCCCAGCAATTCTGGTTTTGGTCTTTCACTGTTCTTTCCATGTAGATTTCTTTATGTAGTTGCACAAGTTACTAAAACAAAACCCCCAAAATTGCACTAAATTGAATCATGTTAACACTCACATGGGTTTTTAACAGGGTTGAAACCTTTACACCTACTGCACCAGCTTCTCTTTCCCATGTCAGCAGGAGTAAAAGCAGCAGTAAGTAGTCACAGTTTCAGGGATGACTCCAAAACAGTTGAAACCCATCTGAACTGGGTCTGGTACAGTTCTCCCTTTCCTCCCAACCTCTGGCCACACACTTCTGTCTCCTTTTTTGTCAGCACTGCTGTTCATGGAATCGGAAGATGAGGAGCTGAGCTAGCCAAAACAAAATACCCCCTCCCACGCCATGACAGTTTTCAGTTCCCTCCTTTGTTCCTCCCACTAGTTACGTGGCCATAAGTACTGAGAGAAAGCAGAGTCACAACCACTCTGCTGTGCTGGGCAAAGAGGAGAGGAGAAAGGGAGACTGTGACAGCCCTGCATTAAGAAGGGCTTAAGCTGCTGCAAGATCATACTGTAAGGAAACAAGCAGTGCAGGGGATAAGAAACATATTTTGTCTCTGGGTTCCAAAGATTTTTCCTGACAACAAAGGAAATGAGACTATAGGAGCCAAACTAGCAAGTTCATACATAATGAACATGTATGAGCTGAGTTTTTTTCCCCCCAGGTGCTTTAATTCTGCCAAATCTGGACACTTAGGAAGGGACAAAACTATTTTGTACTGCCATGTTCCAGCTCTTGCCACAAAGGTAACTAGACAAGACAATTTTCCTAGCGTTGTTCACTGAGATGGCCAACCATGTTTTACTGAAGTTTTCCAAGAAAGGGTCAGGCTGAAGAAGATAGCCTTTGCGAACATTTCATTTCAAAGAGTTAGAGTTTGGGAGAATTACAAAATGAAAATAGAGAAATGCTAACTACAGTCATCCCTAAGAGCTTACATTATCCTTTACAGCTCTGTGGCTTATCCCACTGTGCCTGACAGCCTATGGGCAATACTAGCATGGTTTAACTTTTTGGACCTATCCCAATTCACTCCAGCTGAGGAGTTTTGTACAGAAACGCAGTCCACAAACATGTAGTCAAATAATCAAAAATTATGCCCTCAGAAGTGAACTAGAACAAATGAATTTCCCATCAAGTGCCACCTCTTTCCTCCCAACACATAACAGGGACAAGTTTGGCCATTAGCAGTATTCAAGCAGCTTCCATTGGGAGTAAACAGAGTTCTCCTTGAAATAAGGTGTCATATATACTACTTAAATACTTTCAAGACACTTATAAAAGGGTCAGCAGAGGGTTTTCTGCCTTTTCTGGGTTGATCTGTGAATAATATTTAAGCAGATTCCCACAGCTAAAATGTGCATCAAGTCCAGCTGGCATAATCTTTTGAGCATCATGATAATTCCAGTACTATTTTTTCAATGTTGAACAGGCCTGTCCCTGCAAAATTTACAAGTTCATTTGTGAAACCAAAAGCTTCAAGCAAAAATGGGATGAATTTAAAATTTTGCTTCAGAATTTCCAGACCCACAGTAAAGCGTTGGGTGAGGGAGAGTTTGCAGTGCAGCTCTGAGCTGCCTTTCTGGATCTTCATTGAGCTAAGACTTTGCCAAGAGTCACCACAGACCATAAACATAAGAAACTGTCACAGTTATTTCCCTGATAGAAATCTGCCCTTTCTCTCATATATGGTATCACTCTGCCTGTATGCACCTATGTATATATCCATGTAAAATGAAGAGTCTCACAGTTACAATAATGGAGTATTTCATGCCTGAGCCTTCGCATCTGTTAAGATTTTTCCATTAGCACCCTGAATTGGACTGAATTTTCCCTACCACTCCTTGTTAGGGAAATGGAGAGTCAACAAGTAAAACCAAACCAAACCAAACCAAAATCTATTCTGGAACGAATGTAACTTTTTTTTCCTTTCACAGACAACAACCGCAATGCTGCCATGGTATTGTTACATCTGCTGCCTGGGGACAAAAGCCTTTCTTTCTGGTCTTCTATTTCTGTTTACCACATTTTATTGCCTTTGCCTGCCTTTGTATTTACACAGCCTAGGAAAATGGTATTTTCCTGTTGCCATATTCTATTTTGCAAGCTTTTAGAAATATTCAGGTGTGTCCTGGGTAACAAATAACAATGAGCTACAATATCTGTTTCAAGAAGATGCTCTTAGCCTCTTTCATTTTTCCAAGATGGTGCTCAATAAATTCTCCCCATAAATAAATGCTGATTCTGCATTGATCCTGTGAATGTGAAAAAAGGACACAAGAAAGTCCAAAAGAGGGTAGCTTCAAGAAAAACAGAATTTCACAGCCTCATTTTCAAGGTTGGAACAGGAGACTCAGTGTCCCTGTTTCTATTCTCAGCCACATTTCAGACTCAGACTGTGAACCCCTTGATGAATCACTCAGTTTGTCTGTGCTTCAGTTTTCTTTCTGAAAAAAAAAAAAGAGGTTAAAATACTTACCAGTACTTGCCAAGTGCTTTGGCATTCTGAGGGAAAGGGCACTCAGAAAATTTGAAGTGTAACTCTTTGTAGTGGACAATTGGATAATACCCAAAGGATGCCATTACACAGTATATGTAAATATACATGTACTGTTCACGGCAGTTAAAGTAACTGTTTTTGAGCCCCAGGATAAGCTGCAGATAGTCTTTGTACAGAGGTACTCTAGGTCAATCTGAATGAGATGCTATAGTCTACTTATCAATGTCTGAACAGGACAGGGTTGCACTTCGCATCTCCTCAGAGAACAACTGGAGTAACATTTTTAAATAAATTTCATCTACCTATTAATTTGCAACAGGACATCAGAGGCTAATCCTTGTCACACAGTTATCCTGTATTGTGTTGTATAACACTGAAATGCAATGCAAGGGTCAGAGCAAGGGAGCATCTCATGATTTTCTGCGAATGAGCTGAGAGCATTGAATTGGCTGTATGAACAAGAATCAAAACTTAAACATTGTCATTCATTATTAGTGACTATTTTTTAAGGTTCTACCTATACCAAAAGTTTAATTAAAAAAATCTGCAAGTGCTTTAAAATGACGAGAAAGAAGTTCAAGAAACACAAACACAGAGACTGCATGCATAAACAGAAATGCAAGACTAGCTTTTAGACTGAAGGTGCAGTTTCACAATAGGTGAAAGCCATTCTAAAACTGTACTACTGCTAACAGGGACTAACTAGCTCTGATCTACTGACCCCATAATTTTTCTGCAACTTCCTTTGCTTCAGCATTAGTGGCCACTCAGTGAACAATCCGATCAACTTTGAATTTAGTGCTGCTTTGAGCAGGTGATTGGGCTATGTGATGTCCAGATCTCCCTACATTTTTCTAACTCATGCAATGGAAAACTAACTACTACATTTTTGCAGTTAGTTCATAGAGTTTTCAAGGTAAATCACAACTCATACAGCTAATTGACTGCCAACAACAGTGCAAGAGGGGAACACATTGCTGGAGGATGTGTAGGTAGCAGAGCAGAACCTCTTCAAAGGCACTGTGGTCTCAGCTTGCCTTAAGCCAATAGTGAAGCTGAAACTTGAGGTAGCAACTGTATGTCAAGAACATGGCTAGCATGGTTTGGGGGAAAAAAGTACAGATGTCAAACCGGCATGGTAACTGGAAGAAGATGATGATCCTCCTTGGTGAGAAAGGATAAGTGGTGAGAGGAGAACGACAGGGACATTTGTGTGACCTTGTGATAGTATGCCTAGAAAGCAAAATGGTCAGGCTACTGGCTATCCTAATCTTCCTGTTGAGAAAGCATGCTCTTCATACAAATTAGTTTTTTTCAAGGTTTTTTGCTAAAGGTTCACCTTTTAAAAAGCCCTAAGATTCTATTTTTAAATTTCTTATAACCATCTCTGCCGAAAAGGGACAACCCCTTCCTGCAAGTACAGAGTAGCTGGTCTCCAAGATGCACTGTTTCAAATTAGCTTCACCCATGTTCTTTTTTGCAGAAAAGAGCTATCTTGGTTAAAGGTACATGGTAACCTCAAATCAGGAACTTTCAGTAAATTCCAAACAGAAGCAATGTTCAACTTTTATAGTTAGTAGAGGACAACACTACTCTACAGTTATGTAGAGGGAAAAAGCAAAGATTGCACAAATAAGTCAGTGTCGCTAATTAACCCTTAACCTTTGCAAGTATCTGACTGAAGCTTGAGGGTTTGTGACCCTTTAAAGCCAAATATTCACATTATAGTATGTGCAATATAAAAGACGTTCTCATACTTACTTTGCATACTTGCAGTGACTAGCCTGGTTTGGGTTTTCAAGAATTAGCAATATAAGACATACTGAGAAACAATATAGAAATGTACTCTGTAGATTAGACCTAGGAAGAGAAGCCTGAACTTTTTTTGATTCACCCTTGTTTGTATGTTTGCAGTGACAGATACTTCACATTCACCTTTAACAGCTGGGCCTACAAGGCTGACACTGAACATCAAATGTGAGTTTTCACTCCGATAACAAAAATTAAAAATGACAAAACATTGGTGTGTATCTCAAAGCAGCTGTTCATGGCCTACCTACTCCTGCAGGTCTGGTAATCTTTGGTGATGCTCGCTTTGGGGAAGATTCAGGATGTGGGGCAACAGGCTGTACTGGCCGGGTCTGTTTGGCTGCCAGCTTCTTCAGACTTACTTGCCTCTTGTCAAACATTTCTTGTACATCTTCTAGCTTTTGCAGAATTCTTTGGGCATTGGCCTAGGTAAAGAAAAGGTAAACAACAGATCGTTGTCAGTGCTGGACTGAGCAAGTTAAGAAAGGACTCTGTTACCCAGACTGAGACTAGAGCTGAAGATCATACTGTGCTGCAGTTTAATGCAAACCAGCCCGTGCACTCTGCACAGATCTCAGTTTCACTGAGTAGGACATGGTGACTCATGCGGACTTTCTAGCAATATTCTGAAGAAAATCACATATGTGTTCCATGACTACACATCTGAGTCAAACTTTTTGTCCCAAGTGCTTGCCTCTGTACCATTTTGGTGTAGGGTAAGAGGCATATTTGAGCAGAATGAAATATATAGCCCAGCACACTGTCATGTACAAGGCAATCGGTAATTTTTAAATTCTAAGTGAGTGCATGCACATCTGAGGGGTTTTACCTTTATTTCGGGGGTGAGGATCATGTCAAACTGATTGTAGAACTCCTTCGGGCTAGAGAGCTGGTGTTCCTTAGCTGTTACCAGGAACTTCTCAATTTCAACGAGTGCAGTTTCAGCTCCCTCTTGTGACTGGCACTTGTCCACAGCTTGGGAAGCTAAGAGGTAGATTCCAGCTTCACACCATTGGCTTGCCTTTAAAGAAAAATGGGGCAAGGAGGACTCCATCATCACTGACAGTCCACGTTGTGAAGTGTTACTTCTACTCCATGAAATACAGATTTGCCCTAACATTTAACTAAAGGGAGTGAATGTTACTTCGTAGCACCCAACAATTCCTGGCCACAAGTCACCCCACCTAGATATGTAGAACACTAGCAAGTTTAGTTCAGCTCTCATGGGCTAGATGGTCCAGTAACATGTAAAATAATAATATTTTGAGCGAAGACGAGAAGTGTTGCTGTGGTTACTGCAAATCGAATCTGTCAGCTATACTACCTCATTTCGGTGTTCACACAATTATCCAAAAACCGAAATGAGTATTTGAACCATAAAAAAACTCCTCAAAACTTCTTCGGCCTATAAAACTCAATTAAAAATACTCCAAAGCGTTTTTTTACTGTAAAATTTTGCTAATTCCTGTTTCAGATGAGGCTGCAATAGCATGCAGACGTTATCAAAGCATTTAGCTTGCTATTCTAGCTAGAGCAGAGGAAGTGAAAACAACTGAACAAGCAGTAAACTATTCATTTTTAAGCACTGGAATACATTTAGTTCTCATTTCAAATTTAGGCCTAGCTCAATTTTTTCATACTTTTATTTCCTACTTTTCATCATTTTAAGACCATAATTACGGGAAGCTACTGTGCCAATTTTTATAGTAACAGTTTCTGAATGCAATGGAGAAAAAAGGAATAAATACTTTTCCTCTTCATCCAAATTACCTGAGCTTATTAAAACATTCATTTTCAGTAGAACCTCACCAGGGCTGTTATCTGAGAAGGTTCACTTACCTTATCTAACTGCTTATGCAGCTCAAGAGACTTTCCCAAAATATCATACTTTTTCTTGGTCTCATTGGTAAAGTCATCACAAATACGCCTGAGTTCAACACACTTTGGTCTAATGGAGTCAACTGCATAATGGTTGTTTTGGATGAGCTGTTCTCCATGGAGAGCTAGAGACTGGGCCTTCTCCAAAGGTTCCTGTGAAATTAATGAGAAAAAAATCCAAAGTTAAAATGACATGCATAATAAAGACAATCCAGCTCTATAATCCCTGCTGTAGCCTGGAGGTAAAAGTTTGGGATATTAATCTAGCTGATATGTCTTACTTTATATTTACATTGAAGACCAACTTTGTTGTCAGTGAGTATACTGAAACACAAGAGGTTCCATCTGAACATCAGGAAACACTTTTTTACTGTGAGGGTGGCCGAGCACTGGAACAGGTCGCCCAGAGAGGTTGTGGAGTCTCCATCCTTGAAGATTTTAAAAAGCCGTCTGGACAACCTGCCCTCCTAGGCAACCGGCTCTGGGTGGCCCTGCTTGAGCAGGGGCATTGAACAAGATGACCTCCAGAGGTCCCTTCCATCCTTAATCATTCTGTGATAACTGTGATTCTGTGATTCTGTGATTCTATGCCGCCTTCTTTCTCACATACTGGGGACATTCATTATACAAGTTTTTTTCCTTGCAAAGTTCCCAGTAATCGAAAAACCTGTATTTTTTTCACTCACTAATTGCCAGGTTTATAATGCTTTAGTTTATTTTTGATTCCAAGATATATTTTGCAAAACTCTTCAGATCCTACTGACTGAGTACAATTCATAAGCTTAGTCAGAATAGGATGAAATTAGAGGTGGCTAATGGGAATAGAGCACACATCAATATGTTACATGATGTGCACAATGGAAGGAAATGCATGTTACTATAACTTTTATTCCTTTAGGCTTCTGCAGAAGAGCTGTGCGAAGATCATAATATTTCTAAATCTTAATCCTATTCTTAAAAAAGATTATTATAATCTTTTCTGTTTGTTCATGTGCATCCTCCTCTGATTCAACTTGCTCGTTTGTTCAATGCTTGCTAATAATACTAAATGTGACGTATATCACAGCTGACCAGCTGATGGAATTACAAAGTCCAAATGTCTGGAAAAGAAAGGTGTTTATTGGAAGGCATGAGTGTTCCTCCATCTGCTATGAGTCTGAACAGAATGGTCTTAAAAGTTATCTGGCCAAGGTAACCTGTTAAGTATTCTGAGCTTTTCAGATTCCAAAGATGGACACAACCTTTCATGGTTTGAAATACTGATTTTTGAACTGGATTCTACCTTTCCAAGCAACAAACTGGAACTACTGGGTCTGAACAACCCTGGCTTCTGGAAATTAGGATCTTAGGAGTTTAAAATGACTCATGAGAAGAGAGTAAGCGTGATGTAAGGACAGCGACAGAGAAGTGTCTAGAAGATCATGTCTCTAGCAGCTAGAATACTACATTGAGTACAAACCTGTCCTTTCTCTTCCAGTTGTTTCTGTTCCCTTAGGAGATGCTCCACTCGAGTCACACTGTCTCCAATGTCAGCAAAACCTGCCTGTGCTTCCATGAGATTATCCAATGCCAGTTTTACCTAAAAAACAACAACAAAAAAAACAACCAACCAACCAAACAAAAAAAAACAAACAAAAAGCCCCACCCCACCTAAAACCCCATCAAGATACTCATAAAATTATAACAAACCTATGGCTTCTAGACATTCACCTACATCTTTTAGAAGAGTCTGCATCTCAAGTTTAGTCTTTCAGCTCGTACCAAAATGGAAAAGCCAAGGAATAAAGCAACAATCAACTATTTTTCAAAGAGTTGCCCTGGTTCTTACTGTTTATTTAGGTGCACACAGTTTTGAAGACCTGTAACTCAAGAGTCTGTATTACTCCAGAATCTGTATTACTCCAGCCTCTGGGCTGACAGTTGGGCTTTCTGAACTGTATTCCATTGACTCTGGTGGGATTGGCAACTTACCATCACAGAAGAAGTGGTATTTGGTAACATCACACATAAATGCAAAATGACTTATTAAGAAGTTGGCGTTTCACATTTTGGCCTAACAGGTTGGCACTCCCCTCACTGTGCCTTATTCAAATGTTGTAAGATATCTGATAGCTGTCATGAATTAAATTTTTGAATATCCTATTTCATAATGAAGGGCTTCTCTTCCAACCTCCTTTTTGGATTGCCAGTATACTCTAAGTATGGGTAAAATTTGACCTTATTTACCAGAGAAGGCTAGACAGAATGAACAAATGAAATACCTCTCTAAAATTATGCTCAAAGTGTCGAAGCTGCAGGCATTGTTCTAGTTTTAGGTGATGCTTGGTCCAAAATTGATCAAAAGCCTTTTCTGTTTCATCCAACTGAGCCAATAACCTGTTAAGAAATTAGAATGAAAAGAACTTACTTATTTCCTGTAGTTCATTTCTTGATGGCAGAAAGCAGAGTAGGGAGATGGTGGGGAGCCTACACCCATATGAGAAGGCTCTGTGTCAACTTTCCCTTAAGCAAAAAGGAATGAAATTTGCACTGGGACAGGCAGGAGTGTGACTGATAAGCAACAACTACATGGATCCACTGTGGCAGTTGCAGTCCTGCCTCCTGAACTGCAACAGGAACACAGAGCTGTTCCATGCGCTGGCAGCCAAAGGCAGCTGTCTCTCCCTAGCTTCCGCCCAATTCTTCAAAGATAATTCACCCCAGGCTAATGCAGATTGAGTATGATGCAATTATTATTTTAAGGAATGTTTAAAGCAGAACTCTACAAGTTGTTCATTTTCTTCACCCATCAGAAATAGGCAAGGACTGAATAGTTTTTCCCAGTCCGTTAAAAACAATAGATTAGAAGCTCATAATGTCTCCCGTGGACATTGTTTCACTTTGTGTAAATGACGAAACATGTATTCACAAAGAAATTAGTATTAAGGTGTCATATAACTTGAATAAAATGTCTGACACCAGACTAGTGAGTCATCCTCAATGTGAGTCTCTCAATGATCTGTTAATTATATTACAAAGTAGAACAGTTTAAACAGAAAAAAATGAAAAGAAAGTCTTCTCTGAATATCCTATATTTCAATAGATGGGCACTCTTTGGGCAGGCAGGGGACCAGGCCTGATCTCTTACAAGCCCAATGAGTGCTGGAATCAAGTTATTGGGGCAAACACCAATAGCTCCCTCCTATTCCTCTCAAAAACAAAGTTCTGTTTTCAATCTATCCCTGAAAAACATGTTTTTAATCATAGCTAGTTGTTGAATTCAAGATGAATTCGCAAATTCCTTTGGGATGACTGTTTAAAGGATTTTAAAGTATTCAGTGAAAAATAGCAGCTCAGCTTTACTTTTGGCAGCTTTGTTCCCAGTGAATGCAGACACACTGAAACACTAGCATCACATTTCCCTTTCCAATGCATCACATGGCACAGCAGAAACTTCTACACGGTGACTAAAAGCTTTATGGTAATAACGAGCATTGTAGGAAGGAAGAGGGATTTCTCTCTCTCTCTCTCTCTCTGCAGCTGTGAAGGGGGATGTTTCAGAGTATCATCGTCATCTGTTCCTCCCTCAGTGTTTCCACAGACATGCACAAGCACATACCCTCTCATCTCACACGGATTCAGATGCCACTTTCTAACCAGGCATAAAAGTTTGGAGTATGCATATGTTATGGGGAAAGTAAGTCCCACATTAAGTCTTCAGCCAGGTAGTTAGTGGTCCAACCAAAAATTACCAAGAAATTCAGGACTTGTTTGAACTTGCCTTGACAGTTTAATCAAGTAACTTTCTCAAAGCTATTCCCTTCTCTGAGTTACCTGTCCAATAAATCCTGAGGAGCTGAACCAGAGGGAATTTATAACCTGCATATTTAAATCATTTAAATTACACTTGCATTTCTTAGGAATAAATTAGCAACTTGCACAAGGTAATCTAGTTTCACTGACCTTTCTACTGTTGCCACATTTTCCAGTTCATCTGGACTGAGTTTGCTGTTGGCGCTTCGGGTGACTGGCTCCCTAATGCATGTCAGTAGGGTGGCCCCCTGCTTCACAGCTAGTTTCAGCTCATCCTGAGGGGAAAAAAAAAAAGCCAAACAAATTGTATGCATTTATTCTAACAACACTCACATCTCTTAGATGGACAACATTGTAATGCTAAAGGAGGATTCTTTCATAGGTATTAAATACTTGGAACAAAATATAAATGCTTACCAAAGATGATAGGTCTTTCTAGAAATGCAGAGACTATATCTATTCACGTTGAATAGTAGATATATTTCTGAGAAAAGGAATACTATATAACTTCTGAGCAGACTGCATTTCTGACCAGGCAACTTGCAGAATAAATTATTCCACCACAAACTGAATGTGTGCCACAGATCGTTCAGTGAGCTGAGAGACTGTGCTGAGACATTGCACTTCTTAATGGAATTTCCTTAAACAACATTGTGACATGCTAAGCCACAGTACGTCAGCTATCAAGGAGTCATCCACAGAAGAAGGTGTCTTCCCAGCATGAAAGATGAGCAATGAAAAGGACATTGAGGCTCAAACATTAACTTGTCAGCTGAGGAGTCCCCACATCACTGCACACTTCTTGCATAAAACTTGTTCTTGTGCTAATATATATTAAGTAGTATTTTTTCTCTTGTGTTTAACCTAAGGTGTTTGTTGACAGCAGTAATGTTTTCTTCTGAGCCTTAGTCTGCAAAGCTAAACTTGCCCCAACTTTTTTTTAAAAAACAAAACAACAGTCATCATCTAGTCAGATCATTCTGTCTATTCCTGGATTATCCTCACAGATGTTCTCTACGTCTGCTCCAATATGAGTTCATCCTTTCTGATGAACTCTTCATCATGAGCCCATGCTATTCTAGATGTGATCCCATCACATCCTCTCATACAGTAAAAGTGACATTTTTCTGTTCTATCATTACTGAAGCTGTAAAAAGTCTTTTTTCATAGTTGAATCAAATTGACCTCCTGAACCCAGGTTTCTCTCCTCTTCAGTAGTTTCCAGACAATGGATTCCCAAATGATTACAGAAAATTTTGTTAAATCAAAAATTGTATATGACACTGATGGAGCTGTCGTGAGACAACATTCACCTTCAGCTTGCTATGGTGGTCAGTGTGTGCCGAGAGGAGCTCCTCTGTGCACTGCACATCGTTGGGAAGTTCAGTCTCTGCTAGGTCAGTTCCAAAGGTCTGTAGCATCTGTGCTGTTGTTTTTACTGTCATTGCAAAGTTTTCAATAGCCTGGAAAAGCAAGAGCATAAAGTCACAGACTGGTTATTTACCCTTAGCCCTTTAACAATGCTTAGTTCTTCAGGCACACTGTGCTGCAAGTATTACATGCCTGTAAAGCTGGCCATATTGCCCTTTTTTGGGTGGATATGCTAAAAATTACAAATTAAATCCTGTGTCACAAATGATCTTTTCACAGGCCTACAAGTATTATCATCTCAATGAACCAGCTGGGGAACTCCCAGAGGTTAACAGACATAATGAAACCACAGAGGACATCAGCTTCAAAGCCAGGACTGGCACTTCAGATCCTCTGCCCATGCTTGCTGGGAAATTCTGCTGCATTTAAAATTTTAATTAAGGCTTTATTTAAGTTGAGAAGACTCTGAAAGTATATAGGGCAAAGCACTTTTACATTTATATTCATACAGCTATTGTTCACTCAGCAGCAACCTGTCTTCCCCCCGACTTCTGAAAATGTGCATCTCCATCCTGCCTATCTGTACTAGATGCATTCCAGTCGCTCCCTCCCATCTGTTCATATTAGTACGCAAATACAAGAACAACTTATTCCAAATACAGTTAAAATGCATAAATTCATTGGAGCATTGCTGTTTCTTTATCACTTGGGTGCACCAATACAAAATTTGTCAGAAATCTGTGGTTTAACTGAAGAAAGGGGAAGTGAGGAAGTCTTAAAAAGAATGCTGCCTTTTCAGAGTAGGATATATTGTTGAGACTTGTGAGATGTGATTAAAACCTTTGTATCTAGTAGCAGGTAACTGCATGGGATGTTTATGATCATGCCCCAATTTCTTTAGGGACTTTATTGTCCTGTATAGCTCTTTATTCTTTACACTTTTTGATCTAAACCACCCTATGGTTTGAGTCAGTCAACAGTACTAGGGATGCTCTTATACACAGTCAGACACTACATAGTTGTTGCAAGTTGCATTCCCTTCTCCAGCATTGATGGGGATTCCTCATTTGCAACCATGACAGTTAAAATTATTCTCAGTGAAAAACAAACTGGAGGTAGATCATCATTCAAAAGATGCAGAGAGAAATTACATTCCACATATGTGATCTGAAACATGCCCCAGATGAGGCAATGCTAGCAGGGTTCATAGCCTTCTTCCCTTTTTTCCCATAAATTCATGCCTGCTTTCAACATAAGCAGTACAGACCCGCATATGCTCTGGCTTAGTGCTTAGCAGCTGTAGCCTGCTGTTCTCAGCACTGAAACTACTGGATTAAAGTTGGCTGAAATGTCACACTTCTGACTGCAACACAGATAGAGCCATCCACGACCAAAGGCCGTTTACTAAAAGCCAAAAATGTACTCTGTAGGGAAGAAAGCTCATAGGCTCCTAGCCATTCAAGATAAGAAAGCAGACACAAAGAACAATGCAGTGAGATTGCTGTGTCACTACCATTTAGCAACAGTTTAAAGCTGTTTCAGAAGAAAAGCACTGCCAGGACAAGATATGAGAACAGTAAGAGAAATAGCAAAGGGGATGAAGACAGTAGCTCAGCAAGACTGAAAGTCAGGCTGTTTCAAGGTGCCATGGAAGCTGACACTTCCCTAATGACAATCTCTTATCCAGCAGAGATTCCTTGGCTGACTGCACCATGAGCTTATCAGTGTTTCACTTAATAGTATGCTTGCCCCCGCTCTCTCCTGTGTGTATGAGCAATAAATTGTTTCATATACCTAAGTTATGGCTGTGGGGTTTTTTCAAGTCTCTGTGCTTGGTAAAAGTTTTTCAAACAAATTTAACCAAAAGATGTGAGGATTACATAGCCACACTCACCTCAAATCTTAGCTCACTCTTAGTTGCATATTTTACCAAACTATATATTCATGCTTTATGTGAACTCTTGTCATTAATAAACAATACAGCCTTTCTTGTGCCTCTTTTTACTTTTCTTCCTCATTTTTCAGCCTGAGCTGTTTGAAAGCTCATATAGATGATTCCTTCAGAATCACTCCTCCTGCAAGGACAGTTTCATGTTTTTGGTACTTTTAACACGTAAGCCTGTTCACCTATCTCAATCCTAACCTCACTGTAGTCAACACAGCTATAAATGTAGCAAACCAGCGTTAGAGGAAATTCAGATTCTGTGTGTGCATATTTAGAAGCCTGAAATATTTGGTGGTTCTCAAGGAGAGTAAAATTTAATTTTATATGGACAGTAAAGCACAGAAAATCATAGCAGGAAAGTGACAAATGTGATTTGACTTAACAAAGCTACCTCAGAAAAGCTCTTTTTCCGACTGTTAGACCTAACCTGCAGGTCAGCAACAACAGACTCAAACCCAAGGCTGCTCAGAACACTGCAAAACATTGGGGATGCTTAGATGTGAGCTCTAACATACCAGTCTTGCAAGTAGACCCACAAAGACAGATGCAAACATTGCATACAGTCTCCGGGAAATTAATTCATTCTCTAGGGTCAGGACCCAGCTTTGCCCATTTTTGCTTAGATAGGATGAGACAATATTTTGGCGGCTGATGTGCCAGAGTTTGGGGTCTGGTTTTTGTAAACAGTCATCTTTTCTAGGCACCTTAATGAATTACTTACATTGTTTTGAAGCATCCACTGAGATGCATGAAGCAACCCAAAAAGGGAACAAACAAACCTGTAACAAGTTTCCTCAAAGGCAACAGAATAAAAAGTCTTTCTGCCTTCCTACCATTACCAACTGTTCTTCGGTTACTCAAAATAAGACCCAGCTAGAGTACATGTTTACATAGCACAGAAATGAAAACAAAGGAAAATAAAATCTAGTATCTTGAGTATTTTTCTTCTCTTAAAAACATGGACATAATTAATCATTAAAGTGAGAATCCTGACCTTTGATTCAGTAAAGTGCTAAAGCATATGTTTAACTTCAACCATGAGCTGAAGGCCTATAAATCTCATCAATTATTCAAAAGCTAAGAATGTGCCAAAGGGCCTTGCTGAGTAAGAATACTATGACACTGTTAGGCCCTAGTCCAGATCAACAGTGAGAGACAGATTACTACTTCTATTATAAACTTTTGGGGAATTTACCTTTCTCTATTTGAGTCATGGATTTCCTCTTTCCATGAATCCCTAGCAGAATCTGTAGGCTGAAATGCAGCTGAAGAGTTACTACTTAATTGTTGCTCTACATTCATCATCTGGACAATTCTGGGTGTAGACATGCGTAAGAGCAACACCAACACTCACAGTTCGGTGATGTATCCACTGACTGTGGCCATACTCCAGGGTTCCTCCCAGCTCCCGGGTCAGCTGACTTTTGTCAATATAGCCATGCAGATCAGAGACAGAATTTAACATGATGATCTGAAAGAAATCCAAACACAATGGACTGAGAGAAGTAACAAGCCCTTTCAATCATTGTTCCTAGGATATGGGTTTGCCTTAAACATATATGACCAAACTGCAGTTCCACTATAGGCAGTAAGTTCTCATTATGTATTTGTTCATGCAATGGCCACAGCTTATTTCCACTAGATTTTGCCTTCTCAACATGTACATAGCCATTCTTGAACTAAGCATAATTTGACATCACCTTGCTCCTTGCTAGGCTGAAGATGCAGTCATTTTGCATATGCATCAGGAGCAAAAGTATGGTATTTATAATGTTCACAAAAACTTCCATCAAATAATTTCTATATTTTCTAGATAACCGTTATTTACAGAGAAATGGAGGAGTAGGCAGGTTAAACAGCTTCCTCAACACCAACCACTTGATCCAGGGAAGTGCTGGAAGGAGACCACTGAGAATAAGATTTTCCTTTCAGTTGCATCATTTTTATGGCACTGTATGTCCACTGAGTTCACTGTCAATATTCCATTTTAAACCACGATAAAAGAGAAAGGAGAGACAAACCTAAATCCATTTTCTTTGAAGAGTCTCCTTACTACTAGATCTGCTTAATGAAAGCAAAAGATTTGCATTCAGCTTCAGGTAAGCAGTATTACCTTTTGGCTACCACCGTAAATCTGGCAACACAAGTGGTTACACAAATAAACATACATGTATTCAGTTATGCCTTGTTGTTCTAACAGCTAGAAAATACACCATGATTTCAGCAACAGAAAAACAAGGCATTGAGCACAAATGACTAGAAATTTTAAGCCTTAGACTTTAATATATGTCAAATGTATTACTTCACTCTGCTGTTTAAAGAAAGGATAACTAGCTATGCCTGTTAGCAGGCTCCAAGGGAGCATGGTAAGTACACTTGCAAGCACTGTGGACAGTGAGAGGAGCACAGATGTATGGAGGCAAGAGGATGTATATTCTAGGTTGATAGTGCTCTAAGAAAAGCCTTGAGAACAAACCTGAACAGGTTTTTAGCTGATCTTTGTTACAGAATCATTCTAGAATAATTCAGGTTGGCAGGAACCTCAGGTCTCTAGTCCGACTTCTTTCTCAAAGCTGGGTCAGCTGTGAGATCAAACCAGGTTGCTCAGGGCTTTATCCACCTGGTTCTTAAAAACCTCCAAGGATTGAGACTGTACAACCTCTTTAGGCAGTCTGGTCCACTGCCTGATTATCTCTGTGGTGAAAAAGTTTTTCCTTATATCAAGTCAGAACTGCCCTTGTTTCACTTCATGTTAGTTATCTCTTGTCCTACAGAGCATGCACAACCTGGCTGCGTGCTCTCAGTAACCTGCTTGAGGGACTGGAAAGCTGCTGTTATGTCATATTAACCCTCCCAAGTCTTCCCTTCTTCAGGCTAGACAAGCCCATCTCCTTATAGAGCACAAGCTCTACCTTCTTGATGGCTCCCTGTTGAGCTCACTCCAGATTAATATTTTTCTTGCATTGGGGGAACCAAAACTGGACAGGGTACTCGCAATGCGATCTAATGAGAGCAAAGTAAAAGGAGATAATCACTTGTCTCAATCTGCTGGCTATGCTCCTGTTAATACTGTTGCTGTTAATGCAGGATGCTGATAGCTTCCTTTGCTGCCAGTGCACGCTGCTGGCTCATGTACAGCTTGCTGTCTACCAACTCCCAGGTCCTTTTCAGCAGAGTTGCTCCCCAGACAGTCAGGCTGCAGCCTGTATTGTTGTCAACAATACAACACTCTTGTGCTGTTGGGGGGGAAGAACATGAGTTCTTCCTTCCTGAGGAAGGAAGTCCTTCTGGAAGGAAGTCCTTTCCAGTTGCAGGACTTTGCATTTGTCCCTTTAGTATTTCATAATATGCTGGTCAGCCCATTCCTTGAGCTTATGTTCCAATGGCCCTGTCTTTGAGTGTACCAACTGCTCCTCCTAATTTAGGGTTATCTGCAAACTTGATGACAGCACACCCTGTTGCCTCTTTCAGGTCATTGATAAAGTTGTTAAACAGGGCAGGTCCCAGCAGATATCACTACACCACTCCACTTGTTGCCCACTTCCAGGTAGAGTATGACCTATTAACCATTACCTTCTGAGCCCAATTATGCAACTAGTGTTTAAATCCATCTAGTTGTCCACCCATCCAGCCTTTAACATCCTAACTTGGATACAAGAATATTGCGGGAGACGCATCTGGTCCCATGGACCTGTACGGGTTGAATATTCTCAAGTGGTCCCTGACTCAATTCTTTTCCACTTCCAGCAGTTCATCTTCTCCTTGAACCCTGCTTCTAAACACAGAGGAGACCTTGTTGGTGAAGAAACTGAGGCAAAGAAAGCACAGAGTACGTCAGCCAAAGCTAAAGGGAAAGCTATTCCCTGAATGTGTTACCAAATGCTGTTTTGTTATGATCAAAGCCAGAAAACTAAAAAACTGGATCATCTTGGAGTAGCCTCAGACTGCAACGTGAAGTCTATGCACTACTTCTGAATTGCAAATCACTTTTGAGAAAGTAAGCCTGAACTGCTTTGTAGCTCTTCCCCATCAGAGATGTTGCTGACAAGTTGGACATCTTTTGATACTCCAAACTTCACTGAAACTACAGAGGAACATTGTCATGCACTTTTCTTTTAGGAAGATGACTGTTTTAACCTGATACACTCAGCATGAGCCACAAAGCGAATCATAGAATCATAGAATCATTAAGGTTGGAAAAGACCTCCAAGATCATCGAGTCCAACCGTTAACCCAACACCACCATGTGCACTAAACCATGTCCCTAAGTGCCTCATCTACACGTCTTTTAAATACTTCCAGGGATGGCGACTCTACCACTTCCCTGGGCAGCCTGTTCCAAGGCCTGACCACTCTTTCAGTAAAGAAGTTTTTCCTAATGTCCAGCCTAAACCTCCCCTGGTGCAACTTGAGGCCATTTCTTCTCGTCCTATCGCTTGTTACTTGGGAGAAGAGACCGACCCCCACCTCGCTACAACCTCCTTTCAGGTAGTTGGAGAGCGCGATGAGGTCTCCCCTCAGCCTCCTCTTCTCCAGGCTAAACAGCCCCAGTTCCCTCAGCCGCTCCTCATAAGACTTGTGCTCCAGGCCCTTCACCAGCTTCGTTGCCCTTCTCTGGACACGCTCCAGCACCTCAGTGTCCTTCTCGTAGTGAGGGGCCCAAAACTGAACACAGTATTCGAGGTGCGGCCTCACCAGGGCCGAGTACAGGGGCACGATCACCTCCCTACTCCTGCTGGCCACACTATTCCTGATACAGGCCAGGATGCCATTGGCCTTCTTGGCCCCCTGGGCACACTGCCGGCTCATGTTCAGCCGGCTGTCAACCAGCAAATCTATTAATATTGCCAGTTATGGTGCTACCCAACAGGGCACGAGTCTTCGTCCTGCAGGAGAAAGCCTAGGAGCAATCCAACATCCACCTGAGAAACCAATCTTACAGAGCATTAACATCTCCCATACTTCTTGGCAGACTGAAGACAGTCACATTCAGTAAGCTGGAGAATACAAGAGTGTAGAAGTTTAGAAGGGGGGGGGTGGTCTGCATAAGCAGGTCACCACGGAACACAGAGCTGCGGTGGGGTTGCTTCATGATGGGTTAGGCCATCTGAAAGAAGTCACAGTCTACAAAGGTCAAAGAAGTGCTTGCTATGGACACATTATTCAGCTTTTTGTGTATGCTATGAAGATGTTTTAATTCCCTTCTCATGATGGGAGGTTCCTTAGGTAAATCTCTGGTGTTCCTTTTGAATTACCAGATTTTATCTCAGATGAACCCTACTATATCTCCAATATTTCTGTGTCTTGCTCCTGGGTAATGATATTGAATCAAATAACTATCCCAACAGAGATTTACCTCAGGAGGTTTTATTAATCACATTCGTATGTCAGTAGATGTGCTGGTTTTGGCTGGGGTAGGGTTAATTTTTGTCACAGTAGCTAGTGTGGGGCTATGTTTTGGATTTGTGCTGGAAACAGTGTTGATAATACAGGGACATTTTAGTTATTGCTGAGCAGTGCTTACACAGAGTCAAGGCCTTTTCTGCTTCTCACACCTCCCTACCAGCGAGTAGACTGGGGATGCACAAGAAGTTGGGAGGGGACACAGCTGGGATAGCTGACCCCAACTGACCAAGGGGATCATATCCCATACCATATGACGTCATGCTCAGCATATAAAGCTGGGGGAAGAAGAAGGAAGGGGGGGGACGTTCAGAGTTATGGCATTTTGTCTTCCCAAGTAACCATTACGCGTGATGGAGCCCTGCTTTCCTGGAGATGGCTGAACACCTGCCTGCCGATGGGAAGGAGTGAATGAATTCCTTGGTTTGCTTTGCTTGTATGCACGGCTTTTCCTTTACTGATTAAACTGTCTTTATCTCAACCCACGAGTTTTCTCACTTTTACTCTCCTGATTCTCTCCCCATCCCACCCAGGGGGAGTGAGTGAGTGGCTGTGTGGTGCTTAGTTGCCGGCTGGGGTTAAACCATGACAATAAGTCACATAAATCCTGCGTTTCCTTATTGTGTCTGGTTTATTCTTTCAGCCTCTATTTCCTGCTCCTGTTTGATCTTCTGGCTTCTACTCAATCCAGTGTTGATTTAACCCAGCAAATCTGTTTTACTGAACATATTTGCAGCCTGATAGCTCAGATAAACTGTTAACAAGTGTTTCCTTAACAAATGCACACCATATTCCTGAAGCCCCTTTTGAATGCTCGTGTCCTGCCCTGACTCACTTATAGTTGTGATAGAAAATGCAACCCATCCATGGCCCAGTTATGACGTTAAAATTGTCATAGTGCCAAACACACAACATGAATAAACAATCTGCAAACAATTTAAAGGATTATGTTGGTATTAAAGATAGGTACTGATACTAATTCCTTGAGTAAGGATATCTCTCATGGGACAAGAACTCTCTGGCCCTGTTCTTAGCTTGGCATGTAGGATGCTATTTTCAATGGGGACAAGTAGATGTTGCTCTCAGTAACCTACCTGTTCTGAAATTGGGCTACACAGGGGCATACCCAGATGATCTTTTTTGGATGGGCTGCAAACACAGCTGAAAGGCCGCTCCAGAGAGCATGGCAGACCCCAGGCGCTTAGGACACCTTTAGCACAACCCTAAGCAACTTACAATAGCATCAGGCATATGTGGACAGCCTATATATAAATCTGACAGGCTGTCTGCAGATATCTGGGCAAGAGGCAGGCAGGTCTAGCAGCAAGCATATCATGCTCTTAGTTTTTGTAAGACTGCTCTCTAAGAGCTCTGTGGACATACCCAAGATGGCTTAAAATTTGAATGTCCAAGACCACCCCAAACTAAACTCATATCTTGATTTTCCTGCCTGTAAGAAAGGTAAGTTACTATTTAATACTTAATAGAGTGCTTCACCCCTACCTAGAATTAACCTCTCTTTCCACTTTGATAGTTTCAAGTTGGTTTTGAAATGCAACACTGGCGTCAAATAAATTGCTAAAAGTATAGAAGATGCTGAATTCCTAGAAAATGCTAGTCCTTGATGAAGTTGTCTCTTCCTGGGCTGCAGTCACTGGTACAACAGTTGCTATGGTAACAGACTGTGGCTTATTAAATACAGGAACATCTATTTTTCAAGATGAAATAAAATTAAAAGATTTTGTTTTGTAATCAAACATACATTTTTACATCAATTTTACATTTTAATTACCAAAAAGCCACCCTTGCCAAACTACAGTCAACGTTACAATTTAATCCCCAATAACCAAATGAATATTCATGGTTCCTTTTCTGTATGCATTGTAATAAATGGGCTGCTGTCTCTTACTTCAATAGAAGCATAAAGTGTCTTAAACACCTGAACTTTAAACTTAGGTATTGACAGAGCTAGAATCCGTTGGAGGAGGGCCACGGGTCTTTTGCAAAGCAATATAAAACCACAGGCAAAATCTAAAACAATCGTATGAAATTACTCCAGTAAAGTCATTGTGGAACACAGTATGAGTCTGTTCCAGGATGAAATACCATTAATAATCATCATTCAAGTTTATTTATAAAACACTTTGAAACCACATGCAAACATGCAGCTAGGAACAACTCCCAAAAGAGCTCTCACAGAATAATCTAAATTTTTAACTCTTTCAGGATTGAAAACCTGCCTCAAATCACATTCTCGTCAACCCACAGCATATGCCAAGTGCATATAAAAAGAAGTAAAAAACAAACTTTGAATCTTGAGGGCATGGGGATCATAAAAGGCATTAAGAATAGGCAGTGCTATGCAAGAACTTAACAGAGGCACTGTCAGATTGGCAGCAGTCCCATGGATAATACATAAAACAGATGTAGAAATGCAGAATTCAGTCCTAGCCTTTCACTGCTCTGTAGTCCTAAACAATTATGTTTGTCACTGGAGTGAGAAGATCTACCTCTGCCTACATCAGGGGAACAGCTCCACTGAGTTAAGATGTCAATACTTAAAAAGCCAAGTCACATTTTATAGCTACACTGACCTTCCACATGGGAACATGTCCATTAAATACTGTGAAGCATCCACTGGTAATTAGCTCTTTGGCATTACTACTATATATATCATACAGACCCAGATCAAAGTCCCCAGTTGCTACTTGCAATCAGATTTCAATTACTAGGTTATGAGAAATTGCTCACACCTAAGAACTGCAGACATGGAGATAAAGAAAACACATGGACAAAAAAAATGCATGCTTACCGGTACCTTCATTTTAAAGTCATCTCGATAGAGTTTAATGCCAATGTCAGCGATTGTCCTTTGGATAAAGCGGGAGGGTCGCAGGACAAACACCAGCTGCAGGTTTCCTGGAAATGCTCCCTGCAAGAAATATAGAACTATTAGAAGGCACAACTCTGCCTTACAGGAAGGCCAAGGGAATTTTCAGCCAAGTGTTTCCTAAAGGAAACACTTTCCCTAAAGGGGGCAGAGCAGGTAGGACTTATCGACCCTTGCTCAGTCCAGCTGCTAATAATATCAGCTGGTCCATTCAGCACGTGCCCATTGTCACAATGTCCAAAGCCAACAGAAAGACCAGCCCATGGATTTTACTGCCCAGCCACACATTGCTTTCTGATATGGATTTAGCACAGAGCTCTAAAGTTTTTGCACTAGTGCCTTCCTCCCCCAGATCTGAACCCCTTTGCACTATCACACCATAGGTTTTCCCATTTTTTCAGGCTGCAGCCACTAGAGGGCAAAACTGGCTACCTACAAAAACTGGCTACCCACGTTGGACTTGGTGAAAGAAGCTGGTGGCACAGATGAATTCCCCAGGCTGACCTACCTTTGCACTCTGGAAAGGGTTTTTAATCTTTTCAATCTCACATATTTTTTCCCACTCACAGGCACTCAACACATTCATCAAACATGGCCCTGTCTGCAACACCCAGCCTACATCTCTCAGGCATTCCTCTGAGCTCATCAAGCATAAAAAAGAACAATTTCTAGAAGAGAGCAGCTAAAAAGAACTGAGAATGAAAAGCAATTCTGTCTAAATTCCTTGAAAGAACTTAAAGTCGCCTTGGTCATCTCTCCATCGTACACCTCTGTGTACACTTGCTCCTCACACAGCACATGTTCCTGGTAATAGATGTATAAAACCATCTGCTTTTATTAGCACTGAAAATCAGTGCTTGGCTCTGACTTTTGCAAATCAGATATATAATAAGCTATTAAGAATTTCTGACAGAGATCACTTACTACCACGCAAATACAAGTCCCTTGAGATCTGTTTCTTTCATAAGCAGGCCACGTCATCCCTCCTTGATGCACAGAAGGGTACCTCTGTCATACTCTTCTAGGAACCAACTTCAGATTACTAGAATTTATATTGCAGTCAATCCAGCAAATAAGGAATTTGTCCTAATTCAGCAGTAAACAAGGCTGTGTAATTTGTTACTGCAGCTTCCTCCCTCTCTTATTTAACACTCATGAGCTTCAGAGCAGGGGAGAATCTGCATCCACAGCCAGAAAATGGGAGCTAAAAATGAGCACACGAGACTGTATCCTGT